ACCTGCAGAGCCTGCGGGATGCCTCCAGCCTCACCCCCTCCTCCTTTCACCTGTTCCCAATAATATCCCGATTTCACGGGGAAAGAGCAGCCGGTTGGGGCAGCGTGATTGGAAAATACAGCAGCGGGGCTCAGGCCTGCAGTGCTGCTGCCGTGTGGCCGGGGAGGCACAATGGGCCCACAATGGCACAGCAAAAGCAGTGACACAGCAAAAGCAGTGACACTCTGGGACTGAGGGAGCCCAGGCAGCCTCTGCCCCAGGGCTGGCTCTGGCACTGCTGGGGACAGCACGGGCACCATTCCTCAATAAATTTCTCCTGGCCCCATCCTTGCCCCTTGAGTGGCTCTGTGAAGGTGTGCAGGACATGGTAGGGAGCAGGCCAGCTGTGACAGCCATCTCCTGTCCCAGCCTGGGCTGTGTGGCCACAGAAGAGTGGGGGGTCAGCCTGGGGTAAGCTCCAGGGACCCATCCCACCCTCTGCCTGTCACCCTGTGAGCACCAGGGCTGCCTCCTCAGGAAGGGATGACAAGAGCCCTTCCCACCCAGAGCTCCACAACCTGTTGCCTCCTGCCTGGCTGACAGGGTTTAGCCTCATTCCTGGAGGCTGAGCCAGCCCTCCTCCTCCTCCTCCTCCTCCTCGTCCACCCCCCTGTCCAAGCAGCAGACCCAGCCCTTCAGGGGGATTCCAGGCAGGGGTGGCTCAGGGGGTTCCACTGGAGGGCAAGGGCCTGTCTGGTTTGACCACATTTGATGTATTTCTCGTGGGAGCACAGCTGGATATACAGCTGAAGTATCACCCCATGACCTCACCTGATGTCACCTCCTGTCCCTAAATCTGCCATTTTGTGAGGCCTGCATCCCACAGAGCCCCAGCTTTACACCCACCTACCCTCCCAGCCCTTGAGTACCTTGTGCAATGGTGGGCAGTCATTTCCCTGCCAATTCCATCTCCCATGGCCAGCCTGTGCCATCTCTCCAGCAGCTGGCACTTACTCCTTGCAGCACACATGCACACAGGCTGGGAGCTTCACAGAGAAACAGGCGAAAATGGATTTAAGAGGACAGACAGGATGGTGCAGGGCTCAGGCAGACTGACCAGCCCTATTTTCAACACAACCCTCTCATACCCCTTTTCTCTCTACCCTTTCATATCTCCCCCCTCCACCTGCAGAGTGCCACTGACCCCCTCCACTGTCCCAGACCCCCAGTGACACGTGCCTGGAGCCCCCTGCAGCCCTTCAGGGTGCCCAGCCCCTGTGCCTGGTGCCACCCAATGCTCCCTGCTCAAAGTGGCTGCACAGCACCAAACCCTGGCATCACCCTTGTGTCCACCAGGACCTTTTCCTAATCCCAGCACTGCCTCACCCCTCACTGACACAGAGCCCGACTTCAGACCCATTTCACAGTCCTGCCAGTGGCCCTGGGGTAGGAGCTCAGGCTGGGGGAGGCTGGAGGCACCTCTGGAGGTCACCTTGCCCAGCCCCTGCTCCA